GTACTACTGGGGTACCTAGAATAGGTTGTCAAGCTATGCCTCCTTTTTGGATCCCTATTAAACTAAGGTGGCCTTTTTTTCCCCTAATATATAGGGAACCGGAAAAGTACATGATTTGGTCACAGTAACTACTAAGTGGAAGTATAGGTACTTGAACAGGATGCTCCCTGACTTTCCGAGTAGTATAGGGAATCAAGAAAGGTGTATTGAGGAAGATTGCAAACGTTCTGCCACTGTGTTTGCTGTGATACCAAATTTAAGCTAGAGCACTTCCTGCAAATCCAGTTTGTATTGATGGCAAGCTTGGGACCTTGTGTCTTCGGATTCATATGAACTATAATCTAAACTTCNNGGTTATATAGGGATGTATATAGGGGATTAGTAGCATAGGCTTTATTAAGGGGGATGCCGGTAGTTTAGACTATAGCTCATATCGCACCCTTTATAGATCTACAGAGCCTGAAACACGGCTGTGCAGGGCCCCAAGAGGGGTCTTGCAGCCATTTGGCAGACACAGAGACCACGCGGCTTAGGGTTTAGGGATGAGGGTTTAGGGTTTAGGGATGAGGGTTCAGGGTTTAGGGCCCCACCGCACGGTGTAGCAGACGATGCAATGACCTAGGCCCATAAACTGCATTTGCCCAAGCTCAACCTAAAGCAAATCTCACAATCTATTCATCTTATTAGCCCTGCCTCAGCTACCTTATGCCACGAGATCAGGTCCTAAACCCTAAACCCTAAACCCTAAAATCCCCTAATCCATCCCTTTATGGGGGTCCTTTCTTCAAAGTTCAACTCTGAGTCTACAATCCTATTTATACAGGGGTTATACAGGGGTTATATAGGGATTATATAGGGATTATATAGGGATTATATAGGGATTTTACAGGGATTATATGGGGATTGAAGGGGTTATATATTGGGATAATGGAAAAGAGAATGGAAACTACTATATTGGTGTAATCCCCAAACCTCTTTTACGACGGGCTACTGAGATGGGCTTAGGGCTTAGGGGCTTAGGATGAAAAATGCGCAGGTCATAGCCAACTTTTCCACCGCAAACCCAAAACCTAAGACCCTAGGCCGCCTAACCCTACACCCTAAACCCTAAATTCCACTGTCTGAACCTATTTACTACATTCCTGCGGTTCTTTAGGAGATGGTAGTTTCCTCAAATAGGGGACCCCAATATACGGAAACCCTAAACCCTAAACCCTATATAACCCCCATATAAACCCTTTTAAAAGGTACCCCTAATTTTCGGAAACCCCCAGATGGCCTGGTTCAGGCCTGCTGGAGCTTGAGGTCTGGCGTTTACGGGGTTCGCGTTTTCTGCTGTTCAGAGTTCCTGGACCCCCAAAGTATGCAGAATAATGGCCTTTTGGGCTATATTTAGGGGTATTGGGCCATTATTTTACCTACTTGGGGGGTTTAGGTTGGAACTTTTCTTTAGGATTCCAGCCTTTCAGGGTTCATATTTGCCTTAGGGCTTGGGGCTTAGGATGACTCGAAGTCCGTGAACTGTTCAGCAGCACGCTTGGCGTGCTGCTTGAGCATCCCTTCAGACGTGCTCTTCTCGAATTATTCGTGCCCACCCAGATAATTGGGATACAGACCGTAGGTCAAAGGTACTCGAGGCTCAGTCTAAAGCATTCTAACCATAAGGGTCCAAGTACTTAATAATCATATACTTACCCAAAACCTGTACTATAATTACTAGTACCAAACCCAAGTACCTAGTTATTGGGTGCTTGGACCCTCTGGGTAAAGAGGGTTAGTTTGATCAAGCTCGGCACATAGCTGCTTAACACCTTGCCTTCTGAGTCTGCAAGTACTTTATTTGGGGTTTCCTAAAATTAGGGATACCCTTTTTGGGGGGTCCCTATAATAAGGATTATAATGCATTAGGGTCTACATAGGGGTCCCCCTTTTCAGGGAACAGCAACTATCCGGCGCTGAATCACCGGGGGTATACCTCAGGTGGGCTCCCCTGCAAGGGATAATGTTGATTATACTGGGCTCCTCTTATGCTAGTTTCCCTAAATGGGGGAACCCTGACATAGACTCCCAAATTCTCTGGATGATAGATCTACCCATATCCTGCACTTTGGAAAAGAGGAACCACAGACAGCACCAGAGCTCTTTTTGCGTTTGGGGTCTTGATCACCAGCTAGCAGCTCATAGGCCAGGAGAAGGAAGTACGCATTTTCCAGCTAGCCGTCCAACGTAAAGAAGCCATTGAAGCCGTGGCTCTGCAGAGCAAAATGGGACTTAGGGTTCAGGGAAGCTACTGAATACCCTGGCTAGAGACTTCCAAAAACACGTTCCACCATCAATATGCCTAGACTCTGCATCTACCCTCTATATACATATCCTAAATACCCATTATTGGGGACCATATACCCCATATTTAAGGGAACAAGGAGCGCCCTGGTACTCACTTCTGAACGGAGAAACCATGGCGGCTGTCTGAAACTCCATTGCCTTCTTTCTTTTTGTCGGCGGCGGTGGCGTTCTCTCAGCGGACTCCTTCCATGTCACAGCAGAGAGAACCCAAATCATTAGAATCATTAACATAATCTGTCGTAGCCAGACACCCATGAATGGAAGGAAAAGGGGGTTGCTTCAAAATCTCCGGCCGCGTGGCTGTCGTGCAGTGAATATTTCTCCCTGCAGAAAGCAACATGCGATGCCAAGCAATGCGCAGTCGTCCAAGCTCCAACAGGTCTTGAGGCATACTTAGGAGGTTCCCAAACGCTCGCATCGCACGTGTATATTATGGACACCAAAAAAACCCACCCCACTCTATGTAGCGCAAGGCCGCGTGAAGACCCACTCCAAGCCGAGATACTAGGCGCCTGCAGAACTCGCCTGTGGAACGTCTGCACACTAGTAGAAACGTTCAATCTGTAACAGGTCTTACCCCTTCGCCAGCTTTTTCTACAAAATTCACCTTGAAGGTTTAGCTCCTGTAACGTAAGCCCTGTATATGGTTGTTCATCGAACCTCAGACACCATGGGTCTTTCAGGCTACATCTGCAGCTACTTCAGCAACGGCACCATAAGCGAAAGGCGGACCCCCGGATGACCCTAACGACCTAAACGTTAAGATTTATCCTGATAATCTTCTTGAGATAATGCCTCATTCGTCTATCAGCCGTAGTGGCTCCGGGAGTGCACTTCATTTACTGGTTCTTAGTAGGGAATATGGCAATACATATAAATCCCTCGTTCCCTACTAAGCGCTGCAGCTGGCACCCAAGTCCTCCTCTGCCTGCGAAACCTGGAGGCACTGCAGCTTCGAATACATGAACTTCGATGCTACTTTCAAAGTTAGTGCTACCAAAGAACAAACAAAACGAAATCGGCTGCCCCGCCCAAATATTTTTGAAACTCAAAATCCTGCACGAGTTTGAACGCCTTATCTCGTGGGAAGTATGAACTGTTGTATACTAAGAATGCAAGGCTGTCAGTATGAAAGTAGTTCAACATCCATCTGCACATGCACATGTTATTGCTCATATGGTACTTTCCATGCAGTGGCGGGGGGGATACTACAATCCTTATCATAGGAACCCCTGAATTTTGGGAAGCCGAAACACTATCATCGCTAGGGACCCGCAAAGAAAGATCCCTAATTTCGGGAAGCCTCCCCAAGCCATGGGTTTAGAGTCTTACAGCTCCAAAACCTGGCCCCTGTGCCCCAGTGTGCCGTTTATGGAGTGTAGGGTCGGGTGTGTAGGGATTCGGATTTAGAGTGGATGCTTTCCTAAACCCTTAAAACCTGAATCCTAAACCCTTGAACCCTGAACCCTACACCCCTAAACTCTTGCAACCCTAAACCCTAAACCCTGAACCCCTGAACTCAAAACCCCGAAATCCTAAACCCTTAAACCCTGAAACCTCAGCAGACTTTGGGGTACACCGAGCCAAACTCAGGCTTCTCAGAGCCGGGCCCGTGCGCGACCTCGCAGACGCAAAGTTGGCATAGGGTTTGGGGCAGGTTAGAATTTTACCTAGTGTAAACAGAATCAAAGACCACTCTAAAAGGAGCCCTAAGAGAGTAAGTGCTCTTTGATTTCTTGGGTTTATATCACTATTATGGTCTTAAAATCCTAACCTGGTTTGGGGTATGAGGGCTTAGGAATCAGTGTTCCAGGCTTAGGGTTTGAGGTTTAAGGTTTGGGTTTGGGGTTTTGGTTTTGAGGTTTAGGAATGAAGGTTTAAGGGTTAGGACTTGGTGTTCAGGGTTTAGGAAGAGTCTCAGGTTTGAGGTTTAGGGTTTTGGAATTAGGGTTTAGGGCTTGGGGTTTATGATTTTCACTCTAGGAGTTGGTGTTTAAGGCTTTGGGCTTAGGACTCAGAATTCAAGCTTAAGATTTAGGGTTTAGGGTTTCGGGCTTGGGGTACAGCACAGGCTTTAGGTTGCAAGGTTTAGGGTTTGAGGTTCAGCGCTTAGGAATTGGGGTCTAGGTTTTAGGGCGTGAGGTTCAGAGCGTAAGGTTTGGGGCGTAGGTCCCGGGACGTAAGAATTACTTGGAGGGTCAGCTGGACTTAGTAAGTAGGTATAACCCATATAGTAACCCTAGCTATCCCCCTTATTAACCTACTTACTAAGTCCCCCTGACCCTAAACCCTAAAACCTAAACCCTAACTTACTTACTAAGTCCCCCTGACCCTCCAAGTAGGCTTCAGGTCTAAGGGTTGGAGATTTAAGGTTCAGGGCTTGTGTCTAAAGTTTAGGGCTTGAGGTTTAGGGCTGCAGGTATGGGGTTTAAGTGTTAGAGCTTAGGGCTTGGGGTTTGGGTTTTAGGGCTTCAGGTTTAGGGTTTTAGGACTTAAGGTTTAGGGTTTAGGCTTTAGGGCTTAAGGTTTAGGGCTGAGGTGGCTGGTTGACTTCTCCAAAATCGGGCTCCCAGAGCAGGAGACTCCAACAAGTTCATGTATAGGTTTTAGGGATAGAATACTAAAAAGCCAAAGACGACATGATCGTTTTAAAGAGATAAATAGGCTTTATCTAAGGCTTCTCCTAAGTTGAGCTCCCTCTACTTGCCGGGGGCGTGTTAATTATGACCGAAGTAAAAAACTGAAGGTATAACCCAAGTATAAGGCCCCGAAATCCAGGAACCATGGTTGTACATAGGGTATAACTGTATCCAGATCCTCCTATGTAGTTTCTTCTTTGGATCGTATTTAATAATTCCGGACCAAAAGATAATAACAGACCTAAAAAACTGCACAGGAGCCTTTGGGTAGTTGCTTTCATAGTAGGTTATAAGTAACATGGACCTCCAAGTACATAGAAGGGCTCTGGGGATCGCATGAAGGTATTTTGGGACAGCCGGGTCTATTCTCTGTAAATTTAGGGGTCCCTTCTGGCACGAATCTTAAAGACTTAGGATGTTTTGCACCTGGGCCAGAGGAATGGGTGCAGGTTGTCGGAACAGCTTGCAAATCATGGAGGCTGGCTCCTTCCAAGTATTTTGCTCGCGAAACGTCCATGCAGTCTCTCTAGAAAACTCGGTAATGCATATACATACCTTGTGTACCTGGCAAACCTCTGTGGGAAGGACGGTCACAGCAGCTGACTCCGAGAACTGGCTGAGGTCCTTGCTGTTTTGCCGTTGCACCCTGGCCTGCAAAAAACGGTTTTTGGAGCCCTGAGCCCTAAGCCCTTCTTGTGAAGGTTTTGGCATTGGAATTCTGGATGAAGTTTCCCGGGCTGCGGACCCTCGGCCCTAAACCCTCTCCAAATGCAGGGCTTTCTTCATAGAAACAAAAACCCAAACACCCCATAAAACCTAGGAACCATGATTCGAGAATGGGCACACCTGAACCTCCCAAAGTAGGTAACTCAGGTTAAAAATTGAAGGTTTAGGGTTTAGGGGTTTAGGGTTTAGGGCAAGATAGCAGCCCACAACCCACAAGCAGCTCCAAAACTCCAAAAAGGCTCTTATTGTACATGCTTCGGGTTTTAGTGGGCATTGTACACCATGACCAAACAGTATGCTCGTCAAAAGCAGGATTTTAACCCAGAAGCCCCAAACTTGAGGTCATGTCTCCTTGCAGTAACACTGCAACAATTCCCAGAGGTAATAGGAGCCATGGCAATACCCCATTCAACCAATTTGAAGGACGGGGAACGACACAACCCAAACCAGAAGCCTCAAAACACTGATTTCTCATATCGAATCAGCACTGAGGTCCCTTCGGCCGAAAGCCGCAGCACGCAAGCAATCCGAAACCCTACCTGCATGTTCTACTTATCTACAGGCCTTGGGTTTACGCTAAACCCTAAATCTGAGGTTGAAACCATGGATCCTTAACCCTAGGATCGTTCATTGCCTGCGAAATCCCTTTGGAGGACCCCCCACCCTGTAATAGTGGTATAAAAAGAATATAAGAGGACCCTAATGTAGTCCCTATTATCCCTTCTAGTTTCTCTATTACTGTTGGGGGGGTCCACCTAAGATATACCCTAGATGTACCCTTCAGTGTCCTTAGGATCACCCTAAAAGACCTCAGGGTCCATATTAGGGGCCGTACTTGTAACCTTAGACTAAATCCTAAGCCCTTCAACCACATGAGGCCTAGGCTAGTTGAGCACCTGGCCCCGAATAGCTACATCCCTACAACAAGCCTTGGACATTCCTTACCCTACTTCTTATTACCTGGGTTTAGGGCTTGTCTATAGTAAACCCATACCAAACAAGGCAATCACCCCACACACGTCCTAAGTATGAAAAAGAATGCGCCCCCCCCATTGTACTGGTACTATAGTGTTGGTATTTGCCACGGGGATAGGGGGTGGGGGCGGTCGATTACTTGGCTGACTTCTGCGCGACGCAGATGTTGTGGCACCGCCATTGCTTGGAAGGGGAGATTCAGATTCCCCTGCTACACAGCACTCCACCACAGAGTAGCTCCACCTGTTAACGCATATTGTACTGCTCAAACACATCTAAACCCTAAACCCTCAGCCCTAAGCCCCAAACCTTTAAGCCCCAAACCCCAAACCCTCATGTTCTCCCACTGAATTCCTATAGAATCCCAAAATAATCCCCACATCATTCCTGTATAATCCCAATATAATCCCTACATCCTCCCTATATCGTACATTCCCACTCTTATGCTCAGATATCAAGTGTCATCCTATGGAGCCTCTTAGGCCCAGTTCAAGACCCAGAAGGCCCAAGACTTCGGAATTAGGAAGTATTTAGGGTTTAGGGTTGAGGGTTTAGTGTTATATCGAAAATCATGGAAGGCATCCTGGGATCATTTGGGGTATATTTTAGGAGGACCCAGCTATGGGGTTTAGGGTGTTAGGGCCTTGTGATAGTGGTATAGTAGGCATATCAGAGGACCAATATAATCCTTATTTTCCCCTAAAGTCACTGTTACAAGGTGGGGGGGGTCCTCCTAAGGCATATTCCCTAAACCCTCAAGCCCATGATTTAGGGTCCGTTCCTCAATTAAGGGATATTGGGCTTTCTGGGTTCAGACGGTACGCCCTAGACCCAAGACTTTAGGGTTCAGTTTTAAGGTTTTATAGGGTTTAGGGTGTGCAATACTCGACTTACAGTACTTGGGGGGGTAAGGAGCGGTGCAAGATTTCCTCCACCCCACTACCAAAACCTGAACCTTGACCCCCAAGACCCCGGAACGTCGCTCAAAGTCAGAACCCTGAAGTCCTAAATCCTGAACTCCTTGATACTGGAAAAGAAAATGGAAACTATAGGGATTACAGGGATTGGGCTTAGGGTTTAGGGTCTTAATTTTGGGGTCCAAACTTAATCCTAAACTCCTAAGCCCTAAGCTTCTGAACCCAAAGCCCTAACCCCTAAATCCTAGAGCCTTAACCCCTAAACCCAAAGCCCCCTAACGACTAAACTCGCTCAAGTCCTCCCTGAAGCCCTCAAGCTTTGCCAGGGGGGGGCCAGAACAGGGAACCGGGGCCAGGACGGTGTGGAGAACACACCCTTCCTAGACCCTCCTCCTACCTTCTATTAGGGCCTAAGTACCTATTATTAGGGACCATATATCCCCAATTAAGGGTACAAGGAGGGTCCTGGTTAATACTGAAAACGGCTTAGGATTTAGGGTTTAGGCCTTTGGGGTTTAGGGTTCAGCATAAATCCTGAAAACGGTTTCGGGTTTAGGGTTTAGGCCTAAACCCTAAATTCGTTTAACGGAAAGGTTCAAAAGCAGCAGATGCCTCTTTGGAGTTCGACAGCACATGCGCCTGGGCCTTGCAGCCGCTTCTGTCTTCAGAAGGGCTCAGGGTTGAGGGAGGGCCTTGGGCTAGTCATCCCCCCACCTCAATCATACAGCCACCCCAACCCCCCGAAATAATGAAAGTTCCAAGATCGTGCCATGAACCATGGGCGGAACTTCTTCCAGTGGACGTGGGGGAGGGGGGGATTTGTTCTTAAGGGGAGGGGTGGCTAGCAATCACACCCCAGGTTTGGGTTCAGGGTTCAGGGGCTACTACCTCTACCTCAGAGGCGCCTCGCCAGTTCGTGTGTTGGATTTGGGGTGGATGAAGGATTTTACAGGTTAGGGGTGGGGAAATGGATCCCAGGCATACCTCCGACTATATATAAACCCCCATGATAGTCCCAAAATTCCCCCCCCGCACTCCCCCTAAACCCTAAACTAACCCCTAAAGCCTAAACCCTAAACCCTAAACGCTAATCAGATTGCTGAGGCCTCCGGCAAACCTTACCTTCGCTTAGTTGAGGGACTGGATCCTTGTAGTTTTCCCCTGGGTTGGCCCCTAAAGCACTTTGAAAAATATTAGGGTTTAGGGTTTAGGTTTTAGGGTTTAGGGTCCCTTTTTAAAGCCACTAGGGAAATATTAAATTTTTCAGGGTCCTACCTAGTCCCTATATAACTCATGATAATAGTTCCCATTTCCCTTTCCAGTCCTTCATTTCCAGCTAACCAAGACTTAGAATCCCAAAGCAGCCCAATCTTGCCATTGGCAAACACTCTCAGGTATTCAGCTCGGCTGAACGCATGTCTTGGCTGAATGCATGTATGATGTTCACCTAGACCTTCAAACTCTTTCGCCTTTGAGATTACCTGACTTCAAGTCTAGATCGTTCTATATGTCATATGCAAACCTAGGCAATCCGAATTCGTGATCGGGTATTAGGACTTGAAGTACCTGGACCCCAAAAGTATGCAAAATGATGGCCTTTATGGCTATTATTAGGAGTTTAGGGCTATAATTTTACCTACTTTTGGAGTTATTATTAGGGGTTTAGGGCTATAATTTTTACCTACTTTTGGAGTTCGGGTAGAGCTTTGTGGATTGAGGGATCAATTGGTGACCTTTTGAAACCTGAAGGCTATAGCAGCCTCGAGATGCCACCAACTTAAACCTTAACCCCCCAAAACGTTTAGGGTTTAGGGTTCCGGGTATATAGGGGACATTTTTGGGGAGTATTCTAGGGGTTATTAAGGGGGTTCTAGGAGTTTAGACTATATCTCCTCTATAGAACCCTAAACCAAAGCCCGGTTCCGAGATAATGGCCTTTTTGATGTGTGCTTCTTCATTGTTATGTTATTAAGGGTTCAGGGCCATTATGTTTGCTTACTCTGAGGGTTCAGGTCGCCAGAAGGCTTTCTTCTGCTTGATAGTCGTTTGGGGGCCAGGTACCCAGAAAGCCCAACATCACTTGAAGAGAGAATATAGCCTAGAGGATATGAGGATTCTTACTATAATTTAGGATATATGCCCTAATTGAAGGATAAGAGGGCTTTCAGGGTATGGCCCAGTATACGACAAAAAGCGGTAATCCTACCAAATGTACAGACAGTTGTGTCACAAACAAATTTAACGGCTGCCACTAACAAATGAAAAAGGCAGTTTCGTAAACATACCTTCGTGAAACTCTTCATGAGGACAGCTTTCAGCCCTGTCGTTACCACAAGGCACGAACAGCACCGGTTTAAGAGAAGCCCCCACGTCGAACCCTAAACCCTGAATCCTTAAACTCGCAACCCTCAATTCCAAAGACCCTAGACCATTTTGATTCTCCGTCTGTTGGACTGCCTAAGCCCTTAAACCCTCAACCCTGAAAAGACGCACACTTTCCCATTTCCCTTTAGGCTTTTTGCGCTGAGAAGGCGGCATTCTCCACGTGCCTCAGACACTTCCGATTTGAAGGTTGAGGGTTTAGTGGCCCTTACCATCTCGGATATGCAGGAGCGTAAATAACTGCATTGTACCAAAATCAGAGTATACCAACAATTGAGAATCAAATGGATAAGAAAATGAGAAATGGAGTGGGAACTGGGTTCATTTAGGGTTCCCACAAACGTCACGCAATCTCCGCCCCGTACTCACAAGACTTAGAGAATTTGAGAGCCTAATGAATACCACGATCGCTTTTGAGGTCTACTTGAGGTACCCTATAACTCCGCTATAGATGAGAATATGGGACCGTACTAGGTCAACAATTTTAGCATATTCTGCGTTCTACCCCCACCCAGTACCAGTTTTAAGTGGGTTAACGTTCAGGGGTTTAGATATTCCCATTTTAGACATCATCCCGCTGTTATGGAGTGGGTGCAATATCTGAGGCATATTACGAAACACGAGCGTTGTCTCAAATATTCTTAAAACAGACTATATAGATTAGATACTGCCCCCACTCAGAAATCCTAAGCCCCGCCCTAAACCCTAAACCCTAAACCTTAACCCCTAAACCCTCAACCATGAAGCATGCTCTTATGCCAAGCAGCCGGCTTGAGAGCTGCAAGGAGATCAGGAGTTTAGGGTTCAGGGTTTAAGGTTTAGGATTTAGGGTTCTAGTTTAGGGTTCTAGTTTAGGTTTTAGGGTTTAGGGTTTAGAGTTTAGGGTTTAGGGTTTGGGTTTAAGGCTTAGGTGTTAGGGGTGAGGATTTAAGGTTTAGGGTTGAGGGTTTAATGTTCAGGTTTAAGGTTCATAGGGTCTAGGGTTTCAGGTTTAGGGTTTAAGGAACCCACGCTAGCTTTTCAGCTTTAGCAGCATGATGTTTCACAAGTGTTGGAGCACGTGCTTGTCAGCTGATAGGCCCAAAAGATTTCTGCAAGGTTACCACTCATCTACGCGGGAGGCTCAAGACCCTAAACCCTAAACCTCCACTAAAACATCATAAAGACGAGTCTTGTATCATTCAAAGTGCCTTCCTTCATTGGGGAAAGCGGGCTTTCTGGGGAAGGTAACCCCACCTTCTTTCTGCAACTTCTGCTTATATAGTCCCATGACGCTCCAATGAAACCTCCGAACCCTAAACTCTAAGCCCTAAACCGTAGACCCTAAACCCTCAGACAATCCTATGCCCCGAACTTTCGAAACTCTGGTTAATACCAACGCTGAAGGTTTAAAGTTCAGGTCGGCTAACTGGAGCTTACAGGCCCCTGGACGGAATTAAAGGTTCAGGGTTTAGGAATTAGGGTCTAAGGTTTAGGAATGAAGGTTTAGGAACTAGGATTCAGGAATGAGACTTTAGGGTTTAGTGTTAGATGGAACTCTTGAAGTCGACCAGATGGCTTTTATCTAGATTCCATTTATGGGCTTCGTTCTGGTCTTGGAACGGGGTTCATGGATTGGACCTATCCTAAGAAGGACCTACAGAGTACGCTAGGGGCTAGGGGTCGCTTTGCTGCGCTGAGTGTGGGTAAGCAGAGAGTAGAGAGATAACGGCCATAATTTACATCATTCCCCAGGACAGTAAAACTCACCGCAAGCGATAATAAGAGCTATAGTTGTTGGGTAGGGATGGTGGGGACGAGGGAGGGGCTGGCGTGCAAGGCGGCGTTGGTGGAGGTGGTGGTGCGATACACAATTGGGAAGGTCTTCAGAACCACAATTCTCCGTGCCTTTCGATGCAGGTCAGAAGCGGGGCATCTTCACCTTCAAACTTCCGCCCAATGGCCAGGCAGAAGTTGCACTGATGCCCAGGATACTTCTTGGATATCAGCCAGCATGACCCACTGGATCAACTCCTGGCCTCTACAATCCCGACATCAATATCTGTGAGGGCAGTCTATTGTTTCTCCAACACCCTGACATAGGCCTCTTTACTACCCTCCCCTAACTAACACCTGGACCCAAAACCCTAAACATAGAGCCTCAAAGCCCCAAACCAAAGGACCGACTCCTCCCGAACCCCAAAATCTCATGAGCCCAAATTAATCACAAGACACTGGCTAACCCCAAAATCGTAAACCCCAAACCCTGTAACCCCGAACCCTCGAAACAAAATCTAAGCACACAACCCTGCTAGCTGCTAAACCCCAAATCCTAAACCCTAGAATCGCAACCCTGAACCCCAAACCGTATTAAAAAAAAACAAACAGCCCAAAGCGCCCAGAGGCGTAGACGGACTGAAGCCTGGATTTAAGGACTTTAAGTTTGTACCCTTGGGGAGTTCTACCTGTTTGGAATTCAGGCTTGGTGTTTATAATATCGAACCTTAGGATCACTTTTCATGGCTCTGGGCTCCAAACTGAAGGGTGCAAATTGGAAGGTTACAGAGAAATACTCCCCTATAAACTCCGAGCTCCAAGTTCTAAACCCTCAAGCTTGAAGAAAAGAAGAGCTCACAAAAACTTGGGGTCTTGGAGTCTCAATTTCCTCAATTGACCCATGACAACCTGAGCCCCAAAGCCTTAACCCGAAACCGAAAAGCAAGGCCTCCCGTTGCGCAGAGTGCGGGAATTCATCTGCGGTACGCCGTCGCCTCTGATGGCGCCCCTTTGCTGCAAGCCTCGTCATGGGGTGTAGGGTCAGGCTAGGAGTATTTAGTGAGTGCACTTACGAGCCCGTGAACCATTTTAATGCCCCCCTGCCAATTATGCCCATTCTTGTCTGAGGTTGACAATTCGGGGTGTATGGTCACGGGACTTACTGAGTAGACTGATGAGCCCCATAGTAAGCCATTTGATACCGCATGTTATGTCCATTGTTAACCTACTGCTTAACTTGCTGGCTGTTAGTAGTGGGTGGAGGAATGGAAAAGAAAATCGAAGCTACTAAGCCCTAAACCCTACACCCCAAACCCTCAACCCGAAACCTTAACCACACTTAGATAGTAGCCTAGCTTTGTATGCGCCCCATAATCTAAACTCCTTAACTAAAAAGGGGGTTATATAGGGAGTCATATAGCAGAGTATTACAGGGCTTATTCGCGAGGATACCATGTTCAGCCTCTAGCTCATATGCCTTTTTTTTTACGTAATCTCGTAGGAGACCCCAAGATAGGACAGACCGGACACTTGGAAGTTCCCTAGAAGGGAACCTAGAGGTTAAAAACCTTATAAACCCTATAAACCCTAACCCTTGTAAACCCTGAGCCCAGAAGGGAACCTAGCGGTTTCTTAGAAGGTCTCTCCTTTCTGGGGGTCCTTCGGGTCATCTACCTGATCATTGGGTTCTGATAATACAACGGCTGCAAACAATGAAGTTGGACGGCCGTACGGCTGTCGGCTTATGGTTTAAGAGGTTTAGGAGCTAGGGTTTAAGAGGTTTAGGGTTTAAGGTTTAGGGCGTAGGGTTTTGTGTCAGGTACTTGGGATTACAGTAGAGTCCAGGCACGGGAGCTTGGTGCATGTTGCCACAGAGTCACGCAGCGAGACAACCATACACAGCAAGAACCACGCATCCTTAACCGTGAACCCTCAACGCCTAAAACCGAAACCCCTAAACCCAAAAACCGTAAACCCCTAAAACCCTAGACCCCTACACCCAAAGAGCACTACGGTGCCTTTCGAGATTCACGGGTTCACCTAGTACTCCCTCCCCCTATACTACCACCCCTCAGTTTCCTCTTTAAAGGTTTTTTAGGCATGATTAAGTCTAATTACGGTTGACGGTTGACTAGGGGGAACCTAGGGGGGGTAGTATAGAGGGGGGTAGTAGGGGAACCCATGAGAGATGAGGCTGGTGGGCTTCCATGCTTGCTTACGTACCCTGACCCCTATACTTGGAGGGTCAGGGGGACTTCGTAAGTGTACTCACAGCCCCTATAAGCCATAGGATAACCCTATTTAGTCCAATTCTTTACCTACTCACTAGTTCCCCCGACCCTCCAAGTAGAATGCAGCTTGAACATGTTCAGTCATCTCGAAACCTTCATTCAACCCCAAACCCCAAACCCTGAACCCTAAACCCCTAAAACCTAAACTCAGGCTCCACGCCCTGGAAGTTCAAAGTGCTGAGCCTGCGCACCCTGGAAACCTTACACCCTTCACCTTGAAGCCCTATAACACCTGGACTCCAAACATTTTAAGCCCGTCCCTAAGCTGTATAGTACTAAACCCAAAAAACCCTAAACCACCGAAAAGCACTACGTCAATTTGGGGCTCAAGCTTTGTCTGGTCTCAGTAGGCTTGGCTACCTGCAGCTGAAAGAATGGGAAACTTCTCCAAACAAGGGGTTTAAGGTTTAGGGCTTAAGGAACCTAATTTCAGTCACCATAACGGGTATACCATCATAACTAATATGGTCCCCCTTCCCAAGCAGAAACCCACACACGGGTACCTGTAGGCACCGCTTGATTACTGGTGTTCGGCTGAAGGCGGGGGAATGGATTTCACAAGACTTATGTAACCCTCCAATATAATAGCCCCTTGAAGGATGGCAAGAGGGTTGTTTTTTTGCTCCGCGTGTTTTTTTTGTTTTGCGTGTTTTTTGTTCTGCGTGTTTTTTCTTTCGTGTGAAGTGCCGTTCGTCTATCAGACGCTCCGGAACATGCGGAACAAACAAAAATCTGCGGGAGCGTTTTTTTCCTCCGCACGTTGTCCGGCTATGTAATTTGTCTCATGAGACATTCCGGAACACGCGGAGCAAAAAAAAAAACACGCCCCTGTGATTTTTTGGTCGCGCGCCCCCGGCTCACTCACTCACACTTCTTGTTTGTAAATATTTTATAGATGCGCCCCCAGAGAGGCAGGGACAGCATACCGAACCAACAAAAACAGTTAGATGGGCTTCTTGCGGAAAGGTAAGTCGCTTTTGTAGTGTCTTGGCAGGCGCTAGAACTGACAGACTTAAAGTGAAGTTCTTGCACATACATCCTATACCCCCTTCTGCTCGTCACCCCCGGGCCCCTAATGACGAATGCTCACAATATACTACCACCACAGGATGTGAAGAATATGGGGTGGTTGTCAAAATCATGGTCCCTAACATTTGGGGTACCCCGCACCCATGTGAATTATTTGAGGGTGGGGGGGTGTTTATAGGAGGAGGGGATGGGTCGCCATGAGCCTTCCAGGCTGCAGCGCTTCGGGCTTTCAAGAACTTAAGGAACCTCACGCTACTGAACAACAACTGGGTTGCTGTTCAGGGAATTCAACTAAGTTGCCATATCATTGGTATTTAGTAAATCATAGAGTTTCCCGCATTGTAGTAACTTAAGTTGAGATCCTTCACAGCAACCCAGTACAGAGGTGTTGAAGAATGCAAAAGGAGGCCAAAACTCAGACCTGGCGTTGAAGTTCCGGAAAGCTTATTACCATCATTATTATCATTGGGTAGTAGTATTATAGGTATTGGTATCATTACAGCTAATACTATTACTACGCTTACGATGCTTATCTTTTATGATTATTACCCCCCCTCAATACTTGAACCCTCACAAGTGAGGACCAACAAGGTTGCCTGCGCCGCCGGGACAAGACTGGAAGAATCCTCACTGCATGTGGCGGGTCCCAAAAAACCCAACATCCCTTACTTCGGAAACATACCCTAGATCATACTATGATTTAGGGTATGTTCCCGAAGTAAGGGATATTGGGCTTTCTGGGTTCAAGGTTTAGCGAGAGGGGCTGGGACTTGGTCTAAATTAGCTTTCCCAAAAGTGGGACATTGAAATAGGCACCCTTATAGTCATAGGGACCCCAATACCGGGACTCGAAGTATAACGCGTTTAAGGAAATCCCAGTATATGGCATGGCGTTTGAGCAGCCTGTTTCGTAGCAGGCCCCGCAAGCAAAACGAAAGAGCATTCTGCATGGGTGCCTCAAGGGCGCGAGCCTTAGTTTGAAACCCTGACGCATCACTACTTTGAGGGTCAGGGGGACTTGGCAGGCTGTCATGGGGACCATTCGGGGTTATCTTGCGCCCTTTTTGGATGCAAAGTTCAAGTGCACTTGGGATTTTCCCTAAAAGGAGGGAACCCTATATAGACCCCCAAATGCTATAGTCTTCATCATGGGGACCCCCAAAAAGGTACCCCTAATTTTGGGAAACCCCCACTTACTCGTTTGTTGGCGCCTCAGATAATCTAGATATCCCTGTAGCCCCAAATGCTTTGGAACGTTGGAGCTCTGCATCAAGAGCCGCTCATGCGAGCCATAATCTAAAACCTAGAATCTCCCTTAATAAGCCCTAGGGTGTAGGGATTAAGGTTTAGTTTAGGGTTTAGGAATCCCCCTCAGTAAGCCCTAGGGTTTAGAAATTAGGGTTTAAATGTTTGGGTGTAGGGTTTAGGAATCCCCCTTAATACGCCCTAGGGTTTCGGAATTTGGGTTCAGGGTCAAAACTCCTAGGATCCCCCTTAATAAGCTCTACAACCGGAACCCTATCTAGTCCCCTATCGAACCACCCTCGAGGAGCTTAAACTACAGCTCATGTGACAATAGCCGTGTAATGCTGAGCTCACAGAGTTTCTACTTGGGCTGCAGGACGGACGTTTGAGGTTCTGCGTCTAGTGTACTCAAAACAACCGACCCATTTGATTCACACTGGCAATACCTTGAGACCTAGGAAGCATACAAGAATTGCAGGCATCAAGGAGAACGATGAGATATGTTCCTTCCAAGCCCTGGGGCAGATCCTACTTGGAAGTTCATGTATGTGAAGTTATGCGTGGGCTTCAAGTCCGCTACATTGCTTCGAAAGTGTCATAATCCGACTTGACACCGCGCACGCAACATCCTCTACAGTAACTAACTATCCATGAACCTTCAAGCAGGTTCGGAAAGACCTTGGCCTGACCTGTTCAATCTCACTGCGGGCATTCACCTCGCTTGACTGCCTTCTTCTGGCGGCAAAGGCTATCCTCTGCGTTCTAGAAACGACTGCAATACCCTTTGCAAAGGCAGAAGTTCTCCATCGGACTGGAACACAGTTGATGCTCAGATAAAAACTCAGGCAAACTGCTCAGGATGCTGCTTGGCCACTTACCAGGTCACCTTTGCCAATGACGCATGGATTTCTTACAACAGACATGACATCGCCCAAGAACTCTAAACAAACAAATGTCATTTCAAAAGGGGGGACGGGGGTAAATTGTGTGGGAGCACTTGAAATTCAACGAGAACGCAGCGGCGCCTCCGCACAACATGTTTTCAAAGGTTTTGGGTTTTGGGCAACACCTTCTCGCGCCTGTTGGCATGGTCATGTGGCCATGTAAACTGAATTCCGCCAGTACAAAAACATGGCCAACAAGTTAACCCTGATGCCCACGCCTAAGCTCGTAAATCCTGAAGCCCCTAAACCCTTAGAACACCAAACTGTAAACCCCTGGAGCCCAAACCCTGAACCTTATCAACCTTAAACCCTGAACACTAAACACTAAACCCAAGGAGCGTATATCCTAAGCCCCTGAGATGCGGACTGGAGCAGCTAGTGGTGGTGAAGGCTTTGGGGCACCGTCTGCCAAGTCCAAAAGGAGCTATATACAGGTATATGGGGAGAATGTACAATGTAGAGATGTATAGGGTTTTGGGTTTAGGGCCCAAACTAAGGTCCTGCCCTCACCCCTTAACAATCCATATAAGGGGTCAGAGAAAAAGGGTTAGGGTTTGGGATTTGGGGTTTAGGGCCCAGGGTTGGATCCGGCCCTCACCCATTAACAGTCTATACTGGGGGCCATAGCAAGGGCTATATACACATGCACTATAAATCTTACCCCATTGTTAGCGAGTGGTGCATTACCCGCGAAGTCCATGCAATCCTTAAGCCTCTCAGAGCTTGGCAGAGCCTACGGCCCTGAAAGGCATCAGAGGATTAGCAATACGGAAAAGGGATTATGGAGGGTTTCGAGTTTAGGGCGCTACCAGTATGCTTTTCCAGTAGAAGCGGGATCTCCTATTCGTTCGTGTTTATCCCTTACAAAGCTCAAGCAGGAACCGAACTTCAAAAGCACTAGAGTACCTAGACCCCCCAAGTACCCTCTATAGACCCTAAATATCCCCAAATAGAAGCTACATAGACCCTATTTTGGGGTACTTAGGGGTCTAGGTAGCCATCTACCTAATTAGGAGTGGGGCTCAGGGACCAGACAAAGGCCTCAGAAAGTACAAGGGTTTAGGGTTTAGGGCTTGCAGCTGCATTCTCTGCCATCCCAGAAGGTCCAAGTACCCAATGATTAGGTACTTGGGCTTTGGGAAATAATGATTTTAGTGCAGGTTTTGGGTAAGTGTATACGGTTATTTGGTACTTGGATCCTTAGGACATTGCAACTGCATTTGGAAGGGCGACATCATGCAGAGAATCATCATCTTCTCCAGTGTTGATCTGGCTGGACTCTTGCGAGGCTGCCTCCAAGGAATCCAAAATGAGTAGGAGTCAGGTACAAGCATCGGGTCGTAGGGCAGCATGAGAACCTCCTGAAGAATAAATGGTCTGAGTTGCGCCAGCATGGCGCAACAGTTGGGACAGGTGCCCCAGTAACCCCTTAATAATTAGGGTACCCCTTTTTCCTACTGTTCATTTTGAACAAGGAGGCCCCAAAATAGCACTGGACCCTAAACCCTAAACCGTAAACCCTAAACCCTAAACCCTAAGGGTACTACTGGGGTACCTAGGCAGATCAGAGAAGTCCGTGACTGCCGCCTCTGCTTCGGACGCGCCCACCACGTCGTCAAGCTGAAAAAGGGTGCAGGCAAGAACGCTTGCAGAGGGTATAGTCCCCCTTAAGTAGATAGAATATGGCTTTGGGTATATTATAATCAGATCCCCATATACCCCATATTCTATCTACTTAAGGGGGACTGTATGCCAAGGGACCCCAGGGATGCACAAAGCTTATGAGGAAACTTTCTGCGCCCTCCTTGACTTGAGAATTAAAGGTTGCTTTCTAAATGCTCCTACGGAGCAGCAACTCATCAGAAGGCGTTGCAGCATTTTCCTGGCCCGACAATACCTCAATCTTTCTAACTATAACAGACCCCAGCAGGTCAACAGTCACCCTAAGCTACTACGACGATATTTGCGGGGGGTTCCTCACAATCTCCGTCGATGGCTTCATAACGTGTTTCTAGTCTGAGAAAATTCCGCAAAGTCCACGCCGCGGACCGAAATTTGAAACGCGTGGAACATGTATAGCCTGAAGAGCAGACACCAGATTCGGAACCCCAGGCCACGCCCTTGTAGTCACTGTTGGGGCCTGAATCATCAACCATAGGGTTCTGAGGTCTAGTCAGTTGAGGTGTCCGGGACAAAACTTGTAAAAGAAACCACAATGGTAATTATTTAGTCTTTTGCAGTTAACCCTTCTACTCGCTAACCGTCACCCCATGAGCCAGCCTAGTCTTAGATAGCCCGTTTGTTATCTCGTAGCTAACCTCCGGCAAACTAACTTCAAGCTATAAACCACAAATCCTAAACCCTAAGTCCTGAGTCAAAAGCCTGGGACCTAAATCCTAAACCCCAAACCCTAAACCCAAAGGCCCTAAACCCTAGACACTTGTTCCCGAGCCTGGCCTAGTCTAAGACGAAAAGGGACCAAATCCAAGCCCTGCCTAAATCCCCCAAGTACCCCAAAACAGGGTCTATGTAGATCCTACTTGTGGATACTTAGGGTCTACAGACGCTACTCGGGGGTCTAGGTAAACCCCTGAAACCCTAAACCCTAGACTTAGAGCCTAAACCCTAAACCTTAAACCCTAAACCCTCAACCCTAATTCCCGAACCCGGCCTAGTCTAAGACGAATACTCCTGCTCCTTCGAGGAGACGCCCCTGCTTCACCTTCCTTCTGACCTGGCTGGTTCGACTTGGTTTCATAGGGAAATAAGGATATATGGGGATATCTCTGGGATGTATAGGTTGCGTAAGGTTTAGGATTTTGAGGTTTAAGGGCCGTTGTTTGTGACTTTGGGTTTTGGAGCTTTGGATTTAGCGGGCTTTATTGTGCAGTATAACGTCCTGGTGCGAGGATGTAGGGTTTCTTGGATACCCGAGGGGTGGACGAAAGCCCAACCTAGACCCTAGGACCTAAACCCTAGACCCTAAACTGTAAACCCTAGACCCCAAACCCCAAACCCCAAACCCTAGACCCCAAACCCTAGACCCCAAACCCTAAACTCTAAACCCTAACCCTGGGCATGCGCAACAAGCATCCCGGGCCTGGGTTCATTCGCAACAAAGCCCAGTTGAGTAACTTTTTTTGGTTGTCAAACCCAGCAAGATTGCATTTGTTATATAAGATTCTATACCCAAAAGGAGGATATAATCTTGCTCTATATTGGGTACCATAGTATCCCCAAATAAGATACTACTCAAGTAAGGAGGAACATCTGGGTTGATGTTAAGGAAGGTTAGGGTGTGGAGTGTAGAGTTTAGGGTTTGGGGGGTACAGAATGTTGAAGTTTTATAGATATACACCAATAAATAATGGGGTTTGCTTACTGTAGTAATGCAGTAATTCAAGAAAAAGGTTCCTTAACTGCAACCCAGACACTGGGGTAGGGGGGGAAGGTCTGGAGAAGGATGACCAGATAACCCGGCTTGAGTTTTAGGGTTTAAGACCTAAACCCTAAACCCTAAACTGTTTAAGGTATAAGGTTTAGAGGGAGCCCTCCTTCGGGGGAGGGCGAACTGGGCTTTTCTAGCTTTAAGAATTTTAGGTGTAGGTTTTTAGGTTTGGGTTACTGTCATTTTTGGGAATAGCCACTTTGGGACTGTTTTTCTAGATGCAACATCATCTCAGGTGAGGTCGGGTGAGGCCGCTATGATTTGCCCAGATAGGGGCCCCAAAACAAAACGACGGGTATCCATACTAAGGACTCCTAAGACGCCCCTAAGGCTCGCTGAGGTCAGGTATGTTCCCTTAATATGAGTGCCCCTTGGGGCCTCTTTCTTTTTCAGTAACTTAGCAGTTCAGGGACCATGCCCAGGTGTGTACCAGGCCTAGTTTGCCAGCGCTATAGGGATTGTAAAGAAATTCAAGGAATTGTTGAGGCCTATGTACAAACATGCACCTGTCTAGGTGTCAGGGCTTTGCAAACATTTAATAACTGGGGGGCTGGGGTTGCTTGCTGGGTTTGGGTCAGAGTTATACAATATGGTGGATGCTCATTCCTACTGCAAAGGGGCTAGGTCTCACGTCTTAGCGCTCGTACGGCTTAGCCTTAGCTTTACATGGCACGGTACTGACTCAATTCCCTAAATGTACAAGAAGCCCAAACGAGTCAAACGAGGTGTTTTTTATAGACCTTTGGGCAAAACATAGGTGTCATTTAACCCCCCAACCCCCTGATGATGCATATCCCCTTTTTTAATGCATATCTCTTTTTTTTATACTGGTACCCTAACCCCAGACCCCAAACCCTAAACCTTCAACCCTAAACCTTCAACCCCAAAACCTAAGCCTTCAACCCCAAACCCTCAACCCCAGGGTTCTCAGAAACCCAGATTCCACGCCCAGCAGTCGCATTTTCTCTGCCGCGCGTCCCCTGCATCCATGGCGGTCCGATCTACTCCTGTGGGTATTTCTCAAAACTCGGGTGCCCCTTGAAAGCCCATAATTACACATAGAAAAACATATATACAAATATGTATATATGTGCAGATGGCATGCATTCCGATGCGCCTGAGTATGACTGCCCGCAAAAGGGGGCCCAGAATCTTGAGAAACGTCCCTGTCACTCCGTACCCGCTTAGACCTTGAATCCGCGGGACTTCCTGCGGCCGCGGGACTTCTCGAACTTGCGACCTGAAATGACGACTTGGGTATTCCCTAGCTTCTCTATACCCTATAGTTAGATAGCCCAGTAACCTAGTATTTAGGTAACTGGGAGCCCTGGGACATTAGGATTGCAGGAATATACTAGCAGGGCCGAAAAATTGCCAATGCTGAGGTCTGCTTGAGCAAGCGTGAATTGCAAAGCTTCTTTTTGATAATTGTTTAAGCCCGCCATTAGGGATGTGAGTCCACGTCCTGGGGTTTAGGGGTATGTTTAAGCATGACTTGCCGAGTGTTTAGGGATCCGCGGCTTCTAGACTTCATGCACTGGTTGCGGGCAGAAGTAGGTGTGTGGGGGTTTCAGGGTGCATGGCCCCATTTCAGCCAAGGCTTGTTTGCAATGACCCGAACGCCTAAACACTACAGTAAATTGCCACCCTAAACCCTAAACCTAAACCCCAAACCCTAAACCTAAACCCTAAACCTAAATCCTAAACCCTCTTCTGCATCGCATGCCACTCCCGCCTGGCCCTCTTCTACTTAAGCCCTGCAAACCCAGTAGACCCAAAGCTCGCAAGTTTGGACGCACCACAGTCAAGTGCATCTATTTGGTACCTTATTAAGGGCACTAGAGACTAAGACACTGCAACAGGGATTCTGAGTATTTTCTTGTAGAACTATGTTGGGATCAGACTTGGGAATTCTGTGTTTGTCTTCCTCTACCAGACTAAGATTGCCCACAGGAAAACACATCTTTCGAACCAAGGGCCTATATAGAGGTATCTAGGGGAAGGGAAAAAGAATATGGACATGACATTTGTGTTGAGAGTTTAAAGTTCAGGGCTGATTCCAAGAGCCCGCTTAAAGAGTGACCATGCCTAAGAACATGTCAGGCTCACTCTGATCTGTCCCGGACAAACCTACGTAAACCCCGCGAGATCCCAGCACCTTAGCTTCTCGCCAGACCTTAAGCACCTCACTTCCCAAGCAAAAAAAACAAAGCCATTAAATTCCGACCCACCTAGATACACTATAGACACCAAAGAACGCTAAAACCATCAACGCCTACCATGACAAAACCCTTGACTCTAAGCCCAAGCCAACTAACTAAGCTCTAATCCCAGCAAGACAGAACAAATCCTAAGCCCCAAGACGCAAGAAGCCCTTAGGCTTCCTGAAGCGCACGCTCCTAGGGCCTAGGGTACCCTGAGCCCTACCTAAACCCTGAAACCTAAATTTAGGGCAGATGGTTCAGGCTCCTACACTCCCTGAAGCCGACATGTAAAGGGGCTTCACTACGACCGCCGTCCTTATACAAGCGTCCTTTCTGGAGCCCCTACTTGGAGGGGCAGGGGGACTTAATAAGTAGGTGAATAAGGGGGATAAGTAGGATTACGATATCGGTTATAAAGGTTATTAACCTACTTACTAAGTCCCCCTGACCCTCCAAGTAGTACCCTAGGTCCCCACCCTGAACCCTAGATCCTCCTATACCTTGGGTCAATCCCCCACCCAATACTGGGGGACTATTGTACGTACATGAAGGCCCTATCTGCTCCATATTTAGGGGCTATTGCTGTAGGGGGGACTGATCTAACCTATGCCCAGACCCCCAAAAGGATCTAAAACTTGGATTTCCTAGAACCATATAGGAAATCATATAATGATTCTTTAGGGGTTAGAATGGGTCTATATAAGGGATAAAATTTTTGGATCCCCCCAGAATTCGGTGTACCCTCTCCACGCCCTAAACCCTATACCCTAAGCCCTAAAACCCCAAGCCCTAAAACCCTAAAACCCTAAATCCCTAAAACCCTAAAGCCTGAACCTTAAACCCTAAACCCCTAATAGACCCCCTCAATGCCCTAAACTCTGCCAAGACGAGGCGCCCTTGGAGCGGACGTAGGGAGCCGTCTTGGAGTTTGGCACTCCTGGGGCCTGCTTGACTGAGGGGGTTTGGGGGAGGGTTTCGGGCTTAGGGCTCCAGAGTTTTAGGGTTTTAGGTCTAGGGATTAGGATTTAGGGTTTTAAGGGTTTAGGGTTTTAGGGGTTTAGGGCTCTCTGTGTGGAATCATAGGCATATGTGTGGATGCATATTAGGATGTTTGGGTGGGTATATCGGATTCGAGGGCTTAGGGTTTGGAACTTGAGGTTTAGGAGTTTAGGTTTTAGGGATTGGATCTGGGATTGGGGATTTTAAGGCTCAAGTTTTTAGGAATCAGACTTTAAGCCTTAGCCCCAAACCCTAAGCCCTTTGTGTTGCCAGCATTCTGCTAGGGCACCTTGAGCCTACTGTCCATGCATGTAACTCGCAGGGCTAGGGATTTGGGGCCTGGGGCCACGTCTGGCGAGGTAAACTGGCTCAACCAGCATCGTTCCAGATTCTGAGATTAAGCCGTGAACGCGAGCACTTTGATCCTAAACCCTAAAATGGATCTAAACCCCAGACTCTAAATCCAAAATCCTAGACACTAAACCTTAAATCCTAAACCCTAGACCCTAAATCCTAGACCCTAGACCCTGAATCCTAAAACCGAAAACTCTTTCAGGTGTGGGGATCTCATACCCAGAGGGCCCAATACACCTTGATCAAGGAATAGACCTTGAATCATGTCAGGGATCCTAGTATGAAGAGAAGGAATATTAGTGGATTTTGTTGTTACGTATGAGTCGGCTTATAACCTTATTGATAGCCCCCTAAACGGCACCCAACTAAGAGCAAATTTTAGAACATGCCGTGATTAGTTACCCATCCGTGAACTTCCAATGAAACGATGTTCAGAACGCTTTCTAGGGAGCACAGAGGGGCTCATGAGTACATTTTTGGACGCTTGGGGCATAGGATCTAGAGCTTTAAAACACTTTTGGGCGATTTTCTGGGGTTTTCCTACTCAGAGTTTTTAATATGAACTATAGTCTAAACTCGTAGTATTCCCCGTTATAACACCTTTAGTAGTCCCCTATATAATCCCCTATATATCCCACCTTTAAGGAGTTTATCTGGTGGGATGGCCCAAGAGTGCCCTCTGCCCCGTAGCCAAGGAATGCACCCTAAACCCCAAACCCTGAACTTTGA